TATATATCATTTTTTTGTTTTTGTACCTGCTCAGAAATTTTTTAAAATTTTATTTTATCGTAAAGATGCTGTGTAGAAGGGTTATAATTACATGAGTAAGGTAATGAGTACATTTCTTGTCAAGCATTGTTACTCCCTCCTTTGTTTTGTTCCTAGTATCTCTTACCTACTTCCTCAGTCCTCACCTCCCCCAACTTGTAAAGTTCATTTCCAACACAGTCTCTCATGAATATCATTGTTGCAATGGGTCATCCTTTATTCTTGTTTCAGCATTTTGTTATTCCCTTTCCCCTCTCCAATTTGATAAATGTATATATAAGATGCAGGGTACCAAAATCAAATACAGTGAAACAGGGGATATACCATATGGGGAAGAACATACAAAAGTAACAAAAAAAATCACATTGTAAATTAAGAACAACAACAAAGAAAAACTCTTGTGTCCCTATCTTGGAGTTCATTTCACTTAGCATCATCTTTTATGGTCATATGTACTTAGCTTTTGAGCTTTTCTGATCATCCGATAAGATTACCCTAGACGTATACTTATTATTGCAAATAAGGGAAATCATGGGATCTGTATATCTTTAGGTCTGGCATACTCCACTTAATATGATTTTTTTCCAAGTCTTTCCATTTCCTAATAAATGGGCCTGCTTCGAAATTTTATGAGTCTTTTAAATCTAGGAGAAGTTCAGCCTCATAGGACCTGAGTTGTTTTTAAGCTTGCTAAGATAGTGCTTTTAAGTATCTATACCAGGTCATATCTTTTGCAGCTGAGGTTGAGTGCTCCCATATTTCCATATCCCGACCAGCACAAAATGGTTCCGTTAGTCCTAATAGTAAATATAGATTACCTAAGCTGGCACCAGTGGTTGTCGCCTGTAATTCTACATTCTTAGAGGACTGAGATATGAAGATCAGGTTTGAAGCTAGCCCAGGCAAATACAAGAGACTTTTAAATCTTCACTTAACCAGCAAAAAGGCAAAAGCAGAGGTATAGCTCAAGTGGTAGAGTACCAACCTTGAGAGAAAAAGCCAAATGAGAGCAAGAGGAAGTGAGTTCTGGTAATAGTTAAGAGTTCAGTTTTATGCTTTTATGTTTGTGCTTTTAGTATTGAATAATTTAAGGTATTATTTTACATTTGTTTAACAGTTTACTTTAAGGCCTTTTGTTTACTTGTATTTTATTTTTGTTTATTTTGTGAGATATAAATTTAAGTTCAACTTGCATGTATATTGAGATAACATTTTACCATAAGTTACTAAAAATCTATGTTTTCTCTAAGGAAAACAGATCTCTCACTATCAGTGTTTTATATTTCGTCTTCCTCTAAATAAATGTTATTTTCTGTTCATATACCATACTACTGTATTTAATTAGTGTAAGTTTGTAACATTTCTATAATTTGTATTTTTATTCTTTTCTTTTGTAGAATTGTTCTATGTTTAAAGTTCTAATCTTCCAAATACATTTTAAAATCTGTATACAGTGTTTTTTGAAATATTTTGGTGACATGTAACTTTATTTATATACATAACTATGATATGTTAGCATTTTAAAATTGTTTAACTGTACTCTCCTATGTTTATGGTACTACATGAGTAAAATCACAATCACAAAGGCATAATAGTGCTATTATCTTTTTTTACTATTTTTTATTTTAATTTCATTGTCAATGTGTTGTACAGAGGGCTTACAGTTATATAATAAGGTACTGAGTACATTTCATGTTGAACTTGTTACCCCCTCCCTCATTAGGGCAGAGACTGTGGTAATTACACTCAGATCAGAGGAGAGACCAGTTGTCATACTGAGAGGTGAAAATTTATTAAAGAAGCATTTATTATGGAAGTTAGAACAAAAGGAGAGTCAAACAGATACAAGAAAAAGAAGAACAGGAATTAATGAAAGAGACTACAAAAGAGTTTTGGAGCTGAGCACTGGTGGCTCATCTAGTAATTTTAGCTACTCAGGAAGCTGAGACCTGGAAGATTTCAGTTTTGAGGCCAATCTGGGCAGAAAAATCTTGATCTCCAATCAGCAGCAAAAAGTTGGATTGGAGGGGTGGTTCAAGTAGTTGAGTGCCAACTGTGAGCAAGCAAACCAAGTGAGTGCAAAGCCTCTGACTTATAGCCCTTGATTAAAAAAAATCGAGTAATAGAGTACTGAATAAAATCAAATGCTGTCTTTGAAACGATGACTAGACAAATATTTGGCAAATGTTTTCATGAGAAAATTATGAAAGTACGAAAATATTATAAGTAAACAACATAAAACCATAATCTGAAAATCTTAATAATAAACTTGAATAACTGCTATAATACAAATTTCAAGAGATAATTAAATTACTTAGTAAACTGGGAACCAGTTAAATTGAGCCTTATTGGTAATCCAGATTTTGTTTTCCTGCTCTCCCCTTTGCCATGAAAGGAGGTGAGAGAAGGTTAATATAATCAAAATATTTTATGTACATGTGTGAAAATGGAACAAGGAACCTGAATGAAACTGCTTTGGCAAGCGCGGGGGGAGTAAGAATGAGAGAGAATAAGGAAAGGATAATTCTAATCAAGATATGTTGTATACACAAATGAGCATGTTAAAAAATGAAATACCTTGTACAACAAACGGATACTAATTAAAAAGACATATTCAGTAAACTGAACTATGTACTTAGAGAAATTTATTGTTTAATTATATTTTTATTATCTATAAGTGGTTGTACAAAGGAGTTACCATTCAACAAATCTGTTTATAAGTACAATCTATTTAGAAAGCTTGCTTGGTGGTTTTTTGTTTTTTGTTTTTTTTTTTGGGCAGTGTTGGGGCTTGAACTCTGGGCCTAGGTGCCATCCCTGAGCTCTTCAGCTCAAAGTGAGCTCTACCACTTGAATCATAGTACCACTTCCAGTTTTCTGGTGGTTAATGGAGATAAGAGTCTCATGGGCTTTCCTGCGCGGTCTGGCTTTGAACAACGATCCTCAATCTCAACCTCCTGAGTAGCTAGGTTTACAGGTATGGGCCACTGGTGCCCAGCTTGCTTGGTTCGTTTCATGTGGCAGTGATAACTTTAGAGATCTACCTGTTACCTTGGTATAGCTCTGAACAAAATGCCTGAAAGAACAGCTTACAGGAGGAAAAATTTATTTTAGCTCATGGCTTGAGAGGTTTCAGTCCATGGTCACTAGGATCCATGTTTGTGGACCTATATTCAGTGTATTGAACAACTACCCTGGTAGCTACAGCTTGGGACAGAGGCTCTTCACCTTATAGTGGCTAGAAAGAAGACACGAAGGACATATCCAATTAACCTACTTCCTTGATCTAGTCCCACTTTCTAAAGTATCCAGAATCTGAATATATAGCACCAATATCTGAGGACTCCAGTGTTGAACATGGAAGCCTATGGGAGCATTTCATATTCAAAGTATAATGCCTCAGGTACTACATAATAATGAATATTAAATATATAATAGTACTAAACACTTGACATGATGAAGACAGAAGGTATCAGTGGAAAATTTTATATAGTTACATTTATGAACATAGTTTTGAGGATTGAGAAAATTTGCAAATTGAGGTAAACAAAGATTAAATAAAAAAGAAGGGCTTATTATAATGGGTCAACCTGTATCCTTATTTAAGCATTTTGTTATTTCTCTTCCCTTCCCCAAATAGAAAAATGTATATACAAGATGCAGACAACCGGAATCAAATATTGTGAAAACAAGAGTTATACCATGGGGAAGAACATACCAAAGAAACAAACAAATCACATAGTACATTAGAAATAAGTTAAAAACAATAGCAAGAAAGAAAAAAAACACTTGGGTCCCTATCTTGGGGTTCATTTCGCTTAACATCATTTTATATGTTCATATGTAGCTTTTGACCTTTTCTGCTTGTCCTAGAGTATTTCTAGTATATATTATATATATATACTACATATACTATATATTATATATATACTATATATATGTGTGTGTATATATATATACATATATATATATATATATATGGACCTATTAGATATGACCAGTTAACCTCATTCAATTAAAAAATTCAGGAAGAAAAATTCAAATGATTATCTTAACCAAGATAGAAAAAAAATTGTTAAGATTCACTAACAATGATGATTTTAAAACAACAACAATAACAACAAGAAGAATAGAGGGGAAAACATGAAAGGATATGGCTACCAAAAAGTATGTCAATAATCTTCATGCTCTATAGTAAAACTTTACAGGAGGTTTATTAACTTGAGTAACAGAATTTGATTCTCAACCCCTTTTTATTTTGTTACTTTAAAAATATATTTGCATAGAGTGAATTAGTGAAGAGTTAACATGTAGTTCTAAAATTGTTAGAACTCTTTCTGAAAGCTTGTTTACCAGTAAACTCAAAATAATTGAATATTTACAATTTTTCTTTTATATCTTATAAACTATGCTACTTTGATTTATCATGACTGTATAAATTTTAAAACAGATTGAGAGAAAATGCTTAGTATTTAAGATAAAGTATGTATTTGTTGACTTTCTAATCACATTCTTATTTTCATCCAGTTCTTTGTTATAATCACTATAAATAATGTATTGTTCCTCTAATCTAAACTTATTCACTCCATATGATGTCTTGAAAGCAGATGAAGTCTAGAAATAAAATTATCTTAATACTCTGTAATTGTAATTACACTCTGAGAATTATGTGTGAGTCTCTGAATAAAGAGAACGTATTGTCTTCAGATTGAAGACACACACACACACACACACACACTTACAAATCTACACGTACATACATGTGCATAGACAAAATATATTGTATTTCTTTAGTGTTAATTACTTGTATGCAATGGAATTTAGTTATTATCAGGATATTTTAAGAAGAATCCAAAAAAATTCTGTACAAAAATGTAACCCAAGCTGGAAAAGATGTAAGGTATTATCTAGCAATAATGAGCATAAAATACTATTGGAATATTTTAATATTGTATTTTCAGTGAGTGTATATGTCATGCTCCATCAAAAGAGTCCACATGTGCTATGTGTAACCAAGCGACTACGAAATGCTGAACTGATAGACCCATCATTCCAATGGCATGGGCCAAAAGGAAAAATTGTTTCAGGTAGGTAGGATTTCATTTCACTTCTCATAATTAAATAGATCTATCTGAAATGTGTTCAGAAGTACAAGAATATTTGTATCTCATAAATTTATCCATTGCCTCAATTCTTGCCCTTGTAATCTCCTTCAAGAGTACCAGTGTGGATGTGTTACCATTTTTTCCCTCATCTTGCTTTATTCAGTATAGTATAGAGATACACTACAAGATTGAGTCTTTCATAGACTTCCCTAAACATCTCTTCCAAAAATATTTATGCCTAACATAGAAATTACTATTTGTACAGCTGATTTGATAATTATATTCTCTATTTATCTTGTTATATCATTTTGAAAGATATATTTAACCTTTGTTTTAAAGTTTTAGTTTCATAAAAGCTAATTTATTCCAAAAGTTATTAACTGGTTTTATTCCCACATATTTGTTAGCAATACAGATTAATGAATTTTAATCCTAAAGACCTGTTCAATGAGGTGTTTTTCGTAGAGGAAGTTTTCTTTGTAAACCCTTAGAGGAAGGTTCTTTTGGTAACCTTTGGTATTTTGAGATACTACTTATGGATTCATTCCTGTGGACTTCATTATCTTGGATGGAAGAAAATATAGTAAATGTTTATTTTGAATAGGTTTTTAATTTCTGTCTTTTTGGAGTTGAGGGATGTTCATTTTATAGTATTTATGTTGATTCTAAATATCTCAAGTTTTTACTAGTTAATCTATATTTTAGGTCAGATAGTTGTTCTTTTTTAAGTTAGTTATTCAGTTCTTACTTAGTCGGTGACTACTTAGTGGATGCTGTTGTGCTAGTTTATGTGGGAGATAGAAAGATATAATCTATACCAACTATTGTGACATAGTTATGCTCTGTGCTCATGAAATTGACAGGAATCAATGAAAGAAATCTTGAGTTTGAGCAGCTAAATAGTCCAGATGTGAAGGTACTGAATACTAAAATATAATTGAATTTTATTTTCATGCTATAATAGCAACATACAGTGTAATTCAAAGATTTAACATATATTGCCCATATATTAAAGTGCTCTTTAAATTAAAAAAATAGGAATGCTTAAGTATGGGACTTTTCTATTGTGTTTGTTTGTTTTTTTTTTTTGATTTGGAAATTGAAATTTGAGACATTTCCTTATTTAAAATGTCATACTAGAGCCAGGCAATGGTTCATGCTTTTAATACTATCTACTCAAGAGGCTGAGATCTGGAGTATTGTGATTTGAAACCAGCATGGAAAAGAAAGTCTGCTAGATTTGATCTCCAGTATAACTAGCTAAAAGCAAGATAGTAAGATGATTCAAATGGTAGAGCACTAGCTGTGAGTAAGTGTAATGAGCTTGAGGCTCCTGAGTTCAAGCCCCAGTTCCTCCCCCATAAAAGAGCATACTATCTTCCTATTTATATTTCATAATATAGTATGTAGTTTAACTCTTAAATGAGAACATGGGAGCAATAGTTTATTTACTTCCATAATGGAAAAATAATGTGTATTTAGAAATGTAATTGTTCCTAAGTAAGCGTAATTGCTCTATACTTTGGTCATTTTAGGAGTATTCCAAAGATAGTTTGACTAAAATTGAGATGAGAAAATCATATAATTATGTAATTATATGCACATTCATTTGGAAAAATATATTACTGAAATGTAAAGGTTATGGGATAAGTTTGATTTTGTCTTTTGCTCTGAATTGTTTATTCACAGAGATGATGCACTTATAGTGGCAAGTTTTGTCTTTTACTTCAAATCTAACTCTCCTGATTAATACATTGTTTGCACTGTGTAGACTTTTACACTTTTCTAAATGTTCACACAAACACATTGATATACATATAGTTTGTTTATGCCTGTAATGTCACCCTTTCATTTTTTAAAAAGTCACAGGCTATGTTTTACTGCGCCTTAATATTTTTATTATGAAGTATCAAGTTTATAAGATGTATGTAAATTTGTTCCACAGTACTCTTTTTTGGACTTCATTAATTTTTATTTAGGAGGCAGGTATTTTATCCTACCATCATCTTTAGAGATAGACTTGTAATTTCAATGAGTTCAACTGGAGCCAAAACACACTAACAAATCAGACATGCAAGGAGGTGAATGTAGGACTGGAAGCTGCATTTCAGAAGGCCCTTTTACTTATGGTTTTAGCATAAAGGTCCTCAGATTTCCACATTGTTTCCTTATTTCCTTGAATGTTTTAATGTTTACCGAGGAACTACTTACCATAGTAAGTAGTAGCTTTAATTATTCCCAGTCTTCTGTCAGTAATCCAGATTGTCAGTTTCATTATCTTTGATAACCTAAAACCTCAATGAAATTATAATCCTGAGAGTTTTATAGTTATTCTGTCTCAACACCTCTGATAGATACAGTAGAAAATCTAAAAGAAAAATAAGCTATAGTCTAAACTTTTGTTATTTTTCTTAAAATGACATAGCAATTCTGTTCTTAGTATTTTAAGTGATTACTTGTTGAGTGATTACTTTTATTCAACAAGTACCTAAGTCTGTACTCACCTTATGATTCCAACTTCTTAATATACAGCTGAAATACAACTAAGCTCTTTTTCCTTAGTAGCTCAGTGTCAATTCTTTTACTAAGCCCTGAGCTATAGGTAAGAAGAATCTTGATTTCCTAGTGCTGGTAAATTAGGCCAGTTGACTTTTCTTCTCAGTGAAAACACTGAATCTTCAACACAAGTTAAGACATTTTTTTGCTGGGCCCTGGGGGCCCATGTCTGTAATCCTTGCTACTCAGGAGGCTGAGGTATAAGGAGTTCAAAGCTAGCCTGGGCAGGAAAGTATGCGAAACTCCTATCTCTACTTAACCAGCAGAAAAGCCAAAAGTAGAGTTGTGTCTCAAATGGTAGAGCCCTTAGCCTTGAATGAAAACAATCAAGAACATTGCCTAGGCCCTGAGATAAGCCTCAGGACCTATATAAAAGAGATATGTCTTCTTTTCCTTGTGATGTTGACTGTATGTTTTTAGTGTTGGCTCTAGCAACATGCTTAACTTTCATCAGTCTTTTTCAGAGGACTACCTTTTGTTTTCATTGATTTTTCTGTTTTTAACTATTGATTTCTTGTATCGGTATTGTTTTCTTAGTTTTGTTTGCTTTGTGTTTAATTTGTTCAGGTTTTTGTTTTCAGATTGTAGCATTCTAGGTTGGCACTTTAAAAATAAATTTCCAATGAAAGACAGAGAAATGGAGTGTGTTAGGCTTCAGTTTGAGCCAAGGGCCTTCATGTGGGATGCGATCTTTCAGCATCCTGAAACTATATAATTTTTGTTAATATAATTTTTAATAACAAGTCTGCTGTAATTCTTATTTGTTTCTGAAAAAATGTAACTTTTTCTTATATGAAGCTGTTTTCCTTGCTTTTTGTTTTATAAGTGTATATTATGTGTATTTTTTATGTTCATTCTCCTTGATGTTGTCTAAGAATTTTGATCTGTAGTTTGATGTCTATCATTAATTTTTGGAAAATGTCAACCATTACCTCTTCAGATATTCTTTTTCTTTTGTTGGTTCTGGGGCTTGAACTCTGGGCTTGGGCGTTGTCCCTGCACTCTTCAGCTCAAGGCGAGTGCTCTGCCTCTTGAGCCACAGTGCCATTTCTGGTTTTCTAGTGGTTTATTGGAGATAGGAGTTTCACGGGCTGGCTTTGAACTGTGATCCTCAGCTCTCAGACTCCTGAGTAGCTAGGATTACAGGCTTGAGCCACCGATACCCCGCTCTTCAGCTATTCTTTGTACTTCATCCTGTTTCACTCCTGTTAAGATTCCTTGAGATGCCCATCACATTTACATGCACTTTTTAATGTAGTTACTTAGGTCATAAGCTATTCTTCCTTTTTCTTGTATTTCAGGTTAATAATTTCTTTTGAGCCATCTTCAAATTCATTGATTTTCTCTTTGGTTGTATAAGTCTTAATGAGCCCACTGCAGGATAGTTCATCTGTGTTGTATAGAATGCATTGTATATGTATAGTATTGTATATAGTATTTTTTCTTTCTGTTTTTCTTTTGTTTATATGTTCAGTGTTGCTGCTAGATTTTTTTCTATAATTTGAATTCCTTGTTAAAACCACTTACCTAGTTTTACATCTCCTCTGTATTCTTTAAGTATTTTATTACACTAGTGAGTTACTTTTAACTGATAATGCTGATAACAATGCTTAATAGTCTGGTTTTAAATATTTCCTATGAGGAATAGATTTTTTTAGTGTGTTTGTGTGCCTTCTAGTTTATATTTTTGAGTAATGTTGGACATCTTGAATAGATAGCAGATATTTTGAAGTAAATCATTTGCTGCTTTGAGGTAAACTTCCTTTTTCTCCTTGCCAATCTTTAATGTAAAGGTTTGTCTTAATTTAGTTAAGATTGTTCTGACTTTAGTGATACTTGTTGCTGTGGTTATAGTTAGTACACGGAAAGGTACATAAGCGCTCTTAGAATTATTTAAAGTATAGCCTGGTTCACTAAATTATTTTTTCTTGTGTATAGTCTTTCCTTAGTTTAGTTTCTTGTTTTGTGATGTTCCCCTAAAAGACTAACTCACTTTTTCTCTTTCTCTGTCTCTTTCTTCTTCTCTCTCTGTCTCTCTGTCTCTCTATCTCTCTGGCCACTATGCCACTGCTATTTTTCAGAGAGTTACATTCTGTGAGGTTTTTGGCTAAGTTTTAGTGTTTGGCAGGCAGTGTTCCTGGGTCTTGGAATTTGGCTTTTACAATAGTTCCAGCTGCTCCTCTGGCTATAATTTTGGCCTAGTATATTATTTCTTATTGATTCTTCATATAAACTACACACTTTTTTAAACCTATTTTCTGCCTGAGCTGCAACACTTTTCTTCAATACCCAAGATGACAAATATTTTTTTTTTGTTGTCGTTGTTGGTACCAGGACTCGAATTCAGGATCTCAAGCTTGCTAGATGGGCTTACTCAAGGCTGGTGCTCTACTACTTGCTCATACTCTCTAGCCCTGTTGTTTGCTGGTTAATTTGGAGATGGAGTTTAATGAACATTTCTGTCAGAACCAGCTTCAAACCATGATCCTTGGTCTCAGCCTCCTGAGTAAGTAGGACTACCGGAATGAGCCCTTGATGCCCAACTAGGCATCAGTTTTTGTATCATCTTTTCCTGAGGTTAAAACTTTGTTCTTATAGTAGGTATGGGGGAAGTGAAGTGACTGTGTGTAGATGTTTGGCAGGGCTGCTGTGACCCTTCAGGCTGTACTAATGGGAAGCTCGCTCAAGGCTCCCTTGATCTTTCTTCAAAGGACCTGTGTATTTGTGAATGAAAGGTGTTTAAGAGGCCAACTCCTTCCTAGTCTATGGGCTATGGGTCTATGGTCTATAGTCTATGGTTTATGTGCTTATATTGTTCTATATTTGCCTTCCAGCAGTTTATCATGAGATTTTAAGTGAATCTTCTTACCTACTTGTTTGTAATGGCAGCTAAACTAAATGCGCAGCTTCTCCTTCCTTGATAAGATCAAGAACCATTGTTATCTGGAAGGTTTTTTCTGATTATAATAGTGGAACTGATACTCATATTCTTATAATAGTGGAACTGATACTCATATTCACTTCTTATACCTGAGTTAAAAATATAAAGAATTAAGCCCATTTTCAAAAATCATAAGCTTTAATTAAATTATACTTAACTTTTTTCATACAACTTCAGAGCTGTAAAGCATAGGCTTCTAGAGATCTAGTTGGACTGCCACCTCTGAAATTTTGGAAAATCAAAACAAGATGTAAAAATTCAGTAACAGTTTTATATCTTATTGTATGAGTCTTGATAGTTTCTATGATACCTGTGCCAGGTATGTATTCCTTGGCTTTATGAATCTCCATTTAGAATCAACCTATGAAATAATCTATAAAATGAAAAGATCTAGGACATCACAGTGATAAGTAATATTGTAGAATATGTTCTTATGTTGAAATTATGAAGTTCTTTTGTTACTTTTTTTTAAAGTGCTTCTTTAAAAATATTCAAGTAGTCAAAGGGTTGTATACTACTCAGTTTTCTAGCTTTATATTTAACAGTGCAGTCGACATTTAAATAACACTCACACACACATACACACACACACACGTACACATTGGTGTTACTTTTGGTGTGGGAAGCTTTCACTTTTTAAGTTATTGCCAAGAAGTATATAGCAAATAGATAATATAATATTTTCACATTTGTTTAAAATTTATGGACACTTTTTGTGTATTACTATGAAGTTTTGGTTTTTGCTGAAGTATATAGGAAACACTTGCATGCTACTAATTTGTTTTAGAAAATAGCTTAAGATCTAGACTTATCAAAAGATATTCACGATAAACAGACACTACAGTGGAAATATATTGTAAATTTATATCACATTTTTCAGTTTCTCCTAGGATATAGATGTGGGAATTCTCAAGACATAATACTCTATATAAATTCCTTGAGAGTGGGTAGATCAGTACATTCATTTTCTTTCATATATCAAATGGGGAGTTATATTACTAGAAACTGAAATATTTATTTAACAAGTAACAATGAAATTTACTAAAAGATTTAGAATTTGTCTCAGCTTGTAAGACTATTTCAACTTTATAAATTTATAAGTATTATATCGTTTAATTCAAATAGAAAAAGATAGATAATAATTTCCTAAGATAGTACTTTCAATTCTAGTGATTAAATTATCCAAGCATAATAATTTTTAGATGTAAAGCTGTAGTAGGAGCTTTAAGAATAAAAGCTTATCTGCTTAATAATTTGTAGGTTTTTAAAATATACTTTAGAGTTTCTTGTATTTGCTATATAAATCGAATCTATAGATAAACTGTCCTATATTACGATTCTTACTGTGCAGATGAAAGAGGTGGACTTTAGAAAGATGAAGTGTTACTCTAAAATTATAAGTTTGTGAGGGATCAAAATAATTTTAAAATATGGGTTGTGATGTTTCAGAAGTAGATTCACTTTCCATAACACAGCAGAGCCTTCTTCAAAGAGACATGTTGAAAAAAAAAAGTTGAGCTTAAATCTCATTCTGACTCCAACACTGCCACTTTTGGATTTGCTAAATGTGGGCGAGTCTTATTATTTCATCTTCTATGTTTTTTCTACTTATAACCCTAATCCTGTGTGTTACTACAGGATATCTAGTTTTTACTTATTATATTCTAATAATCTTTGTTGTACATATACTACTTTATCATTTCATGTACACATTGTAAACTACTGAAGCCTTTAACTCATCATTAAAGAAAAATATATAAAATATTTCATGGTCTATATGTAAGTACATGATCTATATATATGTAACTTCTGTATTATATGTATATTTATATAGATATGTGTGTGCATACATTTGCGCACACACACAAAATTGATGAGATTTGGTTAGTGAAAATTTGACACTAAGAAGTTCCTCCTGGCACTCCCTCTTAGCAAGCAACAAATGCAATATGTGGCTAGAATAGCAAGTCTTTTCAGTGACTTTGTAGGGTAAATTTTGTAGGTAAATTTAGTCTTCTTGAAGAAATTTTGTTATCTCTTTACAGTAGTTTATGCAACTATGTATTATTTCTTTATTAGAAAACAGCACTGCACAAGTAACATCCACAGGAAGCCTTGTATTCCAGAATTTTGATGAGAGTATGAGTGGAGTTTACACATGTTTCCTGGAGTATAAACCTACTGTGGAAGAAATTGTTAAAAGTCTTGAACTAAAATATGTCGTATATGGTAAGAAATGAATTTAATTGTATTTTAACATATTTTAAAGTGTTCATATATTATAATGGATATGTTTTACAGAGACTTTGCTATTTTTAACCTCTTAAAAATTACAGTTTGGAGCTGGGTGCCAATAGCTCAAGTCTGTAATCTTAGCTATTCAGGAGGCTGAGATCTAAGAATTGCAGTTTGAAGTCAGCCCAGGCAGAAAATCCCCATGAAACTCTTAGATCCCATTAACCATTCAAAAACTGGAAGTGCGCTATGGCTCAAGTGGTAGAGCACTAGTCTTGAGCACAAAGAGGCTCAAAGACATCACCCACAACCAAAACCAACAAACTAACAATAACAACAACAAAAATAGGCTGGGCACTAGTGACTTAGACCTATAATCCTAGCGACTCAGGAGGCTGAGATCTGAGGACCACAGTTTGAAGCCAGCCTGGGCAGGAAATCCTGTGAGACTCTTATCTCCAATTAACCTCCAGAAAACTGGAAGTGGCACTGTGGCTCAAAGTGGTAGGGCACTAGCCTTGAACAAAACAGATCAGGAATAATGCCTAGGCCCTGAGTTCAAGCCCCATTACCAATAAAAAGAAAAAAAAAACCAAAATGACTGTGTTTGTTTGCTCTTTGCTGTTTAACAATGAGTGCACAGTCTAGGTAAGAGGGTGCATGTGTTTTCCCTCATGGCAAGGTGGCCCATGAATGCAAACAGCAGAATAGATTGAGAGTCCACAATTTTGATTGCCTTTTAATTTTTTTAATTTATTATTATTATTATTTTTAAGTATTTGTACAAAGGGAGTTCAATTCAGCATGCCAGTTTACATTTGTACTGCTTTTAAAGTCTGACTATTGTGATTGCTGGTAAATTGCCATCCTCAAAATCAGGAACATGAAACACCACTGTAAATCCCTTGATTTTGACATTTCAAAGCATAATATTTGGGAGGGCTATCTTGAGAGTGTTGTGAATTGAGAGTGTTCAGAATTGTCTGAACAAAAGTTTGCAAGTTTTAATACATCAGAGGGAACGTGTGATAGACAGAATACTGGCTCTCAAAGTGTGGTTCATGTCTTCAGAACTTGTGAACATATACCCTAAATGGGGAAAGGAACTTTGCCACTGTAATTAAATTAAGACTCTTGAGTTGGAGAGAGAGATAATCTGAAGTGAACTGGGTGGGGGAGCAAAAGGGTCAAAGGCAGAAAAAGGAGATGTGGCAAAATGAGAGGTCTAAGTGATTTTCTTTGAAGATGGAGAAAGGAGCCATGAGCCAATAATGTCACCAATCTCTAGTAGAGGAAATGGTATGAGTGGATTTTCCCTTGGAGTTTCCAGAAGGAATGCACCTTGATTTTAACACAGTAAGACTCTTTGGACATCTGTTCTCCAGAACTGCAAGGTAATATATGAGATATTTGAAGTCACTAAATTAGTGGTAAAGTGTTACAGTAGCAATGAGAAACTATGTGACATTGTTTTCATTGCTGAGATGCCATAGCACTGGCACAGTTATAAATAGTTTCCTGGTAAGTTTTTTCTTATTTTGATCAAAAAATACAATTCTACATAACCTAAAGGAGACTTGATTTTCTCGTAAGAAATTCTACTAATTTTGTCAGGCAACAAGTTGGTTTAAATCTTTCAGTCATTCATATTTCATTTTTGTTACATAGTGGTTATATCCATCTTACTATTTATAACCAGTTTATAATGAATATATGTGAAAAATGTATCTTAAGCATATAGTCACATAAGCTAGCAAAGGTGAAAGTGCTTGAAATGAATACCATTTTACAGTAACAATAATGATAGTTACTATATATCAAACATTTACATACCAGGTAAGTAGTATTTTTGTGTGTAATTAGTATAATACCAAAAAATATTATATCTATGTACTTCCCGGCTTGGAGGAAGGGGGAAAGAGCCTTACATTCTGGTCATTACCAGTTTTGAGTGGATGGAGTCTATGTATTTACTAGTGCAGTGGGAGAGTATATCAGGTCTAGACCCAAATATAGTTTACATCAGCACTGTCCTTTCTGAATTTGGTAAATTTTGGGTCAGTGTCTCTTCAAAGTTTTATATTTTTAACATTAATTTACATTGGTTTTCTGGGAGCAAGTTTAAAGAGCTCCTCTAGCAGGCATGTCAGAAGTCTGTCTCTTGCAGTTACTTGAAAAAGAGTCTTTCTAGTACTGGATTTGCTAATTCTTTTGTTTATATTGTCAAAGTTTCTGTTCCAGACAAAACTAACTGTACTTTTCAAATTCATTGAGATGAAGATGTTTATAGTTGTTTATGTATTAGACCCTTTTTTTTCAGTCATTTAATTTTTTTTTTTGTTTTAGGATGGGTCAATAGACTCTACTTTCTAATTTAAATTTAAAATATATTCCATTACTTCATTCCTTCTCTTATGTTTTTATGCTCCTTTTTTCTATGTTAGCTTTATTTTTTGTAACTTCTTGAGATATATCCTTAGCTCATTAGTTTTCCTTTTTCTTTTTTTGCATAATTAACACATTATATTTATTTTTAAGTATTTGACAGCTACTCACAATTTTTTGTTATTTCTAAATATTTAGTCATATTTAAAGAGACTTATAACCTAGTTGTTAATGTTTTATTTAAAGATGTTTTAGAAATACTCATTGTTTACTTTTACTTCACTGCCAGACATCCCTTCATAATGATGGTCTTTGACTATTGTATTACTTTTTATTTTTGTGATATTAGTTAAATCTGTCCAAAACTAGGACTCCTTAATTTTACTATTTTTTAACTTTGCATTTCATATAATAAATCTGGTATATTTTATGGATGCTTATGTATTTATCAAATCTTTACTCAGATATAGTCTGACACTTAACTTGTTTTTTAATTTAAAATATTTTATTTTCTACTATTGGTGACTTTTTCCTTTGTGTTTCTGTGAACGTATTTATAGTTTTCAACGTATCTGATATTAGTTTTTATAATTTTCACTAGGTCTTATATTAATCACCTCATTTGGGTTTTGTTTTGACTTACAATTTCTTATTGTTAATATCTTTCTTTAAAATTTTGAGAGATTATATTTTAAGTCTTATTAAAAATTAAGCTTTATTATTAAATTTTATTATTAAAATTTTTACAAACTTATATTTATCTGTACCACCACACAAAACGACCCGTATAGTGTGTGTAATATGGTGCAATGCTTTTTTCTTAATCCTGGTACCTCTGACATCTTTTAATGTATGTTTATTTTTCCTTCTGAGAGTTTTCAATTAATATATTCCTGTTTTTCAATATTATGTGTCCTTACTAGTCTTTTCCCCTCCCTCCCTTCTGATTTTCAAGACTGTCTTGCTACTTGGCCAGGCTGGTCTCAAACTCATAATCTTCCTGCCTTAACCTTCCAAGTGCTGGGATTATAAGCACACGTTTCCATTCCTGGCTCTTGGTGTTTATTAATTACATTTTGAATCAACTGTTCTAAATTACTTGTTATCAAGTCCAGAGTCCTTTAAACACTTTGAAGAGGTTAGTGAGATGAAAACTTACAAAAGCCCAGTGCAGTGGCTCATACTTGTAATCCTATTCAGGAGGCTGAGATCTGAAGATCGCGGTGTCATGGTTCAAAGCCAGGCTGGGCAAAGAAAATCTGAGCCTCTTATCTCCAAGTAACCATTCTGGCTCAAGTGGTAGAGCGCTTGTCTTGAGCTGAAGAGCTCAAGGGACAGCGTCCACGACTGACAAAACAAAACCAAACAAAGTCTACCAAGTATTGTTTTCTGAGATTGTGGTAGAAAGTCTACTGGCACCCCTACCCCAAAGCAAGGATGTTCCATCACATACACTAATAGAAACCAAGTCTTCACAGAAAAGTATGCACAGTTTTTTTCAAAGCCAGTTTTTATTAAAATAATGCAATAAAAAAGGCATGGTCTCATTTAGGAATTACTTTAAAGTTGAAGCATAAAAAATGATTAATTTTACAACAGACAAGGGCCTTATATCTAAAATATACTTAGAACTCAAAAAAATAAATCCCCCAACAACAAATCCTCAAAGAAACAACTGCCCAATTAATAAGACTTAGAGACTTCTCTGAAGAGGAAATAAGAATGGCCAATAGACACATGAAGAAATGCTCAACCTCTCTAGCCATAAAAGAAATGCAAATCAAAACAACATCGAGATACCACCTCATTCCAGTTAGAATGGCTATAATCAAGAAATCTAACACCAACAGATACTGGAGGGTATTTGGCCAAAAGGGAACCCTACTGCATTGTTGGTGGGAGTATAAACTTGTTCAACCACTTTGGAAAGTAGTATGGAGGTTCCTCAAAAGACTACACATAGAGCTTCCCTATGACTCAGCAGTTCCACTTTTGGGCATTTACCCAAACGATCACAAACAAGGCCATACTAAAGCTACCAGAAAATCTGTTTATTGCAGCATTATTTACTATAGCTAATATATGGAACCAACCCAGATGCCCCTCAGTAGATGAATGGATCAAGAAAATGTGGTATATATACACAATGGAATTCTATGCCTCTTATCACAAAGAATGACACCACCCCATTTGTTAAGAAATGGAAAGACTTGGAAAAAATTACATTAAATGAAGGAAGCCAGGTGCAAAGAAACATAGGTCCCATGGTTTCCCTTATTTGTAATAACTAGTATATGTCTAGGATAATTTTACCAGACAAGCAGAAAGTGTCAAAAGCTATGTACATATGACCATACAAGATGATGCTACGCTTAATGAACCATAGGGACACAGAGGTTTTTATCTTTGTTGCTGTTGTTTTTAATATACTATGTGATGTTTTGTTTCTTTTGTATGTTCTTCCTCCCCTACCCCCTCCCGTGGTATAACTCCTGTTTTCACTGTATTTGATTCTGGTGCCCTGCATCTTGTATATACATTTTTACAATTTGGGGAGGGGAAGGGAAATAACAAAATGCTGAAACAAGGATACGGGTTGACCCGTTGTT